CAGAATAACGAATCTTTCAGATTACCGAAGAAATTTTGCGGAACGGACGACTTCGTTAAAGTGAATTTCACTGTGTACATAAAAACTTGAATTTTAAGCCAATCAGCGTATTTTCTCTGATGTTCTACAGTCAAATTCCGGATGTATTTTTGCTATTACTATTATAAAAGGAATGATCTTCATTATAAAATTTGGAAATCTCCCTGACTGAACTCTTTGATGCAAAGAGAAAACTCAATTGAAAACCTCGGGATGGAACCTCTATGTTGAAGAATGTTTACAAGTGCAAAATGAATCCCAGGCCCAAAACTTTAAAATTGATAGCATCCTGGCTAGAAACTGAAAGGAGAGATCATGGGAAACCATGTGTGAACTGATCTGGTTGGTAAACAACCAACTGACAGATAGCAAAAAGCAGAAAAACTTTTGCGACTTCTTGCAGGAATTTCTGTGAATAGAAAAATGATTAGCATTCTTGTCTGCACATGCAGAATTGTCAGAACTTGACGCAATGAACCATGTTTTCAGACCAACAGTTATTTATTATTTGGAAAGAGTGCAACATCTTTTGTGCAGTTAGAAGTAGACTGTCCTTTGCATGCAGTTTCTGATAGTTTTGTTGGAATGTTTTTATACACATTGAATTCTAGTTATACTTTACCATACATAGACCTAATCCATGGCTGTGGCATGAGCCACACTACAGCAAAGCCTCAGCAAAATTTTATCAGCTAGATTGGTTTGTTTTCCAGCCACATCAGCCTCTTCTTGATCAAATGTTCATTTTGTCTGGTTTTGTTGCAGTCTTATATAATGTAATAAGAACTGAGATATCTGATACCAAGCATTAATATTAATATTAAGGTAATAATAAACACATCTCATTTAATATTTACACAATGTCCTCATAACATCAACAAAAAAGAGTTCAATTGAGTATAATTTTAACATGAATCACTCAACTGTAACCAAAATTTTATCTAAAAAAGAAAAATGGCTTGATTATAATATACTTTCAACAAAATAGAATCCTAGTACCTAGCACACATTCTTCTAAGTACTCTAAATTGAACAAAGCTATGGAACAGTGGGTACACCAAGCTATTACTATTGCGATAAATCTGCCAAATTAAAATATCTGAACGTCAACAAAAAATCGAATTTTATTTACAAAATAATAGTAAATTCATTATTAAAAACTTATTATTATTGTGTAATATATAATATAAGTTGTTGACCACATGACCATCAATGAATCCCTTTAGACAGTCACCCCTCCTTAGAGTCACCGGCCCAAGTGTGTGACTGTCAGGGAGGTTGACTGTATTATAAATCAGAAAATCGACGAAGTAATCAAATTAATGGAGTCCAAGGAAAAAATATAAGATAAGCAAACAAATTGGCCAACATGACTATCCACCAGAAACTGAAAACTTGTGGAAGAACTCTAAAATTTTATTTGACAAAAGGTTCGAGTTCGACTCGAATTTCATATAACAAAATGCTATTGAAATCGACGGATTACTCGGTAAGGAAGCGGTCTAGCTGCCTCTACGATAAAAAGCTACTACCTACGGAAAACAACCCTACGGGAAAAGACGATCGAGGCAATCCAACGTTGATCGACGAAAAGAAGAATGTAAGCGGCGAAGATACGAACCATAAAAATAAAAATAATATATGATATTGATTCCCTTCTTATTTAAAATTCGCACCAGAGTGACCAAAGTATAGGTTATACTCGTAAATGGCTTTGGGCCCGAGTATTTTCCTCCCATGCAATCACTCTGGTATTGTTTGTATTTTCAAGAGCGCGCGCATTCAATAATCGAAACAATAAAATTCATGCTTACAAAAAATTGAATTATTTTCACATGTTTGACTTTTTGATTGCTAAGGCATTAGACCATAAATCTTACCTTCCCGTTTGACTTCATTAACCGTTTTACAAAAAAATATTAAAAATTTGCTCCACAAAGAAATTACCTTGAAAGAGGCCATGGATCATTGTGTCAAAGTAGCGAAATATGATCAAAGAGTGCGAAAGTAAGTTATTGTATAATAATAAGCAAATAAATTATTCTAAAGGAAAAGCTATGGCTCTATTATCAATAAATTTAATTGTCTTGTTTTAAATACTGTATATATGCATTATTTTCGCAACAAATTTCCGTGTCAAAAAGGTTGTTGGTTCTGAATTCGCGGAAATTTCATTGATGATTAATGGCGTGGGGTCTAATTCAGCATTCTCACTATGGGCAAACCGGAACTGGCAGCATTATGACCTTTAATTCTTAGATAACCGTCGCCAATAACTTTTACGCGCCGTTAATTAGTTTTCCAGAAAAATTTAAAAATCTGTCTATTTTGTTTATTTAAAAAATCTGCCTGTATATGTGTTCAAACTTTGTATTTTTCAGCAAGACCTCTTCGTTGGATGACATGTTTCGGTAAGCAGTAAACAGGATCCACAAGTTTTAATCCTGGATATCCAAGTAATGATAAACCTACAACAAAAACATGAATACTGGTCCAAGATAATTAAAATGTTCAAGCAGTTGTAAGAGACAAACTAACCAGCGACACCAAAAACGGTATGAAACACATCAGCCATATCGCCTGGGCGGTCTGCTATGCCACCTGCTTCTGTGTCCTATAGAATAGACATCTTAATCAGTTTTCAATCAGCTTCAGAGAAATGTAACCATAACTGGTACAAACCTGCGCACTCAATACAAATTCAATCAATTTTTCCTTATTAATCCAATGTAACTTGCCAAGTATGCTCAGCGCAGATAGAACCCACCACGAATAACACACATCTTCAAGTTTTTGAGGGCGACCATTTAAACCACCATTTTTCAACTGTCTCTCACATAACCACCAACCTAAAAGATCACCATCAACCAGGTGCAACGAGTTTACTATAGCAAGCGCCCCCACGCAGCAGAATACTATTGAGAAAGAGGAAAGGAAAAAAACCATAGTTTATACATATACAGATACTATAATGTATAATTAAAAGTATTTGCCATCGATCTTTTCGAAAGAAAACACACGTTCTCTCAAGCCATCTGTAATTTTACTCACTTTGTCCGGCATGTGACTCTGCCCCAGGAGAGCTCCCGAACCCTCCATCGAAATTCTTACATTTCATGATAAACTCTACAGCCTTTTGCACATCTATTGCATCCAATCGCTTTAAGAGGGATAAGCATGATAATGCGCTATACGAAAATCGTGTATCGATTTCACCCCATTCGTCTCCTTTAAATGCACCTGTCTCTTTATCTTGGAGGCTGGACACATACTCTACGATCTTGCCAACATCTACAGCGTCTATAGCGTCTTCTATTAAAAGTATTTGAACCGCATAAAGAGTATACAAAAGATGCGGATCATGATTGACATGTCCGCCAAAGCCGCCTGGAGAGCATGAGATGATAGAGATAAAGTGATAAATGGCGTAAGAAAAAAATGTGAAATAAAAAGTATGAACAAAACATTATACAAGTATAAATGCAATACAAGTATAAATGCAACAAACCATTTGGCCATTGACAGGACTTGACATAGGCTATGACATCATCTCTATTTAATGCATCGACATGATTCATCAAGTCTAAAGCAGTGAGACCCCAGTACACACCAGCCAAGCGAAGGTGTTCTGTTATCCAGTATTCTAGAGTATCTTTTTTCTAGTGAACGGCTGAAATATTAGTGGGGACTCGAACAATCAGTTTAAAATCTGCATCAAAAAAAAAGAGTTTTGGAAAAATACTTCATCAAGCGACTGAATGTATTTGACATGTAAATCTATGAGTAAAGCGTTGGAAGTTGTTGAGGTCATTTTTTAAAAGTTCATTATTTGAGGCAACGAAATTTTACCCAAATCCATCAGATCAGGTGACAGTCTCAGATTAAGGTATTACACGTGCGCTGAACTTGTCAATTGACTCAAAGCGCACATATAAAGCGTACGGGCAGTCTTGTTTATTTATTCCATTGTTATCTGTAAACTTTTGAGAATAAAAAGCAAGCAGCGAACAAATCGATAATATATCGTGATGTCTAACATTTTGATTTAATTGTAGCGCGCTCATACATGATACTTTTATTATATGGGATAATACGTATACATAATATTAACAACATTAGTCGATCCAACGAATCCCTGAAACCAAACCGACTTTGAACGCGTTGCGATAACATTAGTAACTCAATTATATTAATGTTCATAAGCATTTAGATTCTAATAATAGGCATATTAACATTCTATGACTCAATTATAATGACGGTAGATTTACTGAAGGTCCATTTTTTCTGTGGTCTTTGTATGTGATGCAGATTTAGGTGGAACTTCTGACGAGTCTTCATCAGAAGCTGATTCATCACCGTCGATAGACCTGAGAGCATATCTCTGTAGCCAAGCATCGTCCGCCCAAACTGAAGATTATTTGTGCGTTAATTATCATCGTTTGCATTAATATAAATGTAAATTAACAACAAATAGCAATCGCAAATACAATCACAAGCCCAAACGCAAATAACAACAGAAAGAGTCTCATTCTCACCAGCTCGCATGCTGCCCTCTTTCATCTTCATCGGCCTCGCCAAATTAACTTTTATAACCTTCCCATACAATTCCGATAAGTGCATGTTGTCAATAGCTGCTTGTGCATCTGCCGGTTCTTCGAATTCTACAAAACCAAATCCACGGTGTTGATTGTCTACAAATACAAGTGGAGAAACAGAATGAGATCGTGATATTCTAAAAAAAAAAAACAACTATAAGAAATTCTTCTGTATATTACGTGACGCAGGATCGGGAGGTATTTGTATTTCAACAATGTCGCCAAATGGAATAAAGGATGCATGAAGTATCTGTTCGTTTACTTGATCGTCCAGCCCACCTGTATGGTGAAGGGGGAAGCCGTAGATGCGAAGTCAAAAGAATTTGATAAAGAAAGGAGGCAAAGATGTCAAACTCTTGCATTTCAGAGTGGAAAAAAGCCAGGCCAAGCAAAACACACTTCGTACCAACATATATTGTAGATTTGCTCGCATTTTCTCTAAGTGCCATTGTGGGGAAGTGGATGAAAATCGAACGGGGCTTTTTATACTTTTATATTTAAAATGTTATGACGTCACTTATTATCGGCATTTACCCCACGCGCTAGTACGATCTATCCTTGCACAAGCTTTCACAATGTCCGTTCTTCAAACAGCCTCTTCAGCAATATCTCCATTTTTCAGCTCGCTCGCCTCAGCTGAAGAGCCCCCACCTAATAATCAATCGGGCCCGAGGCCAACTCTGGTAAATGAAGCATGCATCGAATTCTTGATAACCGAAATGGTCGACTTAATGTTTCGCACTACGGCCGACAGTGAGAATGATAGAGAAGCTGTGTTCTATAAATTGGAATTGTTGGGCTATCATGTTGGACAGAGCTTGGTTGAGAGGTAAACATGAAAGTGAGGAAAACAAGAATGAAGATTATACTGTGTTGCAATATTAACTAGACCAAGATAATTTTTATCGTTTTATATAGATTTACTCGAGATAGACAACGATTTGTAGATACATTGGATGTGGTCAAATTTATTTGTAAAGAATTATGGACTATAGTGTTTAAGAAGCAAATTGACAATTTAAAGACAAATCATAGAGTATGTCTTAACAGTTGCATTATATCATGATGCTCTTGTCCATTTAATTGGTCGATTCTCTAATTTTGCCATCCTAATTATTGTGTCTAGGGCGTGTATGTTTTGCAAGATAATAATTTCAGATGGTTTATAAGAATGTCAACTGAGGGAGGTTCCAGCGATGCAGCAAGAAAGGCAGCTCCGGTGAGTGAATCACATACGCCCAATCTACTTGTCTATGAATTGTAGCATTAGCGAGTGCTCACAATATCTAACATAACTGCTGTATTACGATCTTCGTCAAATAGTATCTATGGTTTCCATGTGGACTGATACGAGGAGCACTTGCCAATCTGGGAGTCGTTAGCGTTGTAATAGCCGAAACCTCGAATCTGCCCCAATGTAAGTCATTCTTTGGCAACGTATACCGTATATGTTGTTGATGCTTAACCTGACCGACATTATACTATTACTAGGCACGTTTCAGATAAAGATAGCTAAATCATAGACATTGGTGTGAGGTTGGATGACTTCGGTTACAAATATCATCAGCTATATTAAATTCGATTTTGACTAATTTTAAATTATACGAGCACGTCTCATAAAACGTGCAAACCAATTCTGTATTAAGGCTGAAACGATTGGACATTACTGAGTAACGAAGTCGTAATAATAAGAATAAAAAAGACGACTAGCGAATCTAATATTTGAAAATATATTTATTTCTCCTAACCATTGTATGCATATTGGTAACGCCAACAAATAAGTAATATTTGTTTGCATGATAGTATATTCTTTAAATTACTAGTTTCACTGTTTCTTCGATCGTTTTAAAGGTATCAGCACAGTACTTGGGACACCTATTCGTAGTGTCATGATAAAGAGCATCTCATAGTATTGATAGAAGAAACAATGGTCTTGCAGCATTATTCGAACGAGTTGCTAATGCTAGGAGAACGGACCAGAGTCGAATCTCACTTCGATCTCGAATGCTGCTATCAAGTATTTTCAACAATATAAGTCAAGCACAAAGAACAACGGCGAAGACATAAGATATGTTGGTAGACCTTTTTACAACTCGATATACACGATCCGCCGAACGAAAATGTCATTACATGACATTAACTGTTGACATTGACATCATTGTGTCCAAGGTTTATATGCTTTACGACGTTGCTTCAAAAATGCAGATATAGAAAAGACCAAATTTTTCGGTAGAAAATGTAGTTCAACGAATTCTATATGTATTTATCAAGAAAGTGCACGTTTGATTCACACTGAAATACGAATTGTATTTCATTTTAAGTATTAAAAGTCACGGATATTAAGAAGTATGGCTTACTAACTATAAATAGTATTAAGTATCTCAAAAAAGAAAAGTAAGAAGTCTATTTACCGTCAAAGTAGTCACGGATCAACCGTATCGAATATGTCAATTACAGCATCTACAATATACCATTGGAATAATATTGAAAAGTATCATAGAGACGAGTGAACATATTGCAGCACGATGACATTATGAGTCGTTCTAAAAATTCCTCAAACTGAGGCTCGGTAAGAGTCAACTGGAATCTATCTCGAAGTTGAGCTGCCGTTCCTTCTCCGGACGCAAAACAGGGAAGCTTAGAGTCTATAGGATAAGCAAAGACTTAATCAGCAGATGATCTAGACCTTGCTTAGTGGAATGCCAAGGATAATTTCGACTATAGATATTTTTATCTCATTCCATCCCACCTACCTTTTTGCATCATCTCAACGAGCAATATAATATTGTCGGCATGTTTTCTCACTGCAATAAACGCCTGTTTCACCAAACTCTTAAATTCGGCAAATTTCTCACTTGTAACCCCTCCAAGAATATCAAGGTATTCTTGAGAAAGCTTAAAGGGAGCTAGTTCGAATCCAACCGAACCAGGTGAGTTAGACAACATAAAACCAAAATCGATATCTAGTTATGTGAGATGATTGTAAGTAAAATAAATCGTGTCGTTGCTGTAAATGAGATACCCTACTTGTTGTTTCTTACGTATTAAATGTCCGTCAGTATCCAATAAAAGATTTCCGTTATGTCTATTATATAAAAAAAGAAAGAAAGAAAAATTTTATAACGTGTCGGGTCACCCAAAAACGGCACACAATTGCTTACCTATCTTTAACCTGTAATATATAACAAACTAACGAATATGCAGCCAAACTTCTCATAAAATTATCTTGGGCTTCCAGGAACGCAACCGATGTGACGTCTCCATACGTCTAGATCAGGAATTAAATAAATATACAGTTTCATCCAGATTCAGCCATTGCACAAATTAACCAACCTTGACAAAATAGTCGAATAGAGTAAACATAAACCCTTTCTCATTCAAGCGTTTAGCATATGCGTCTTTCTTAATTGAATGGATTGAAATCGAATTCTGAATAGTCTCGATCAACCCTGAATTGTCTGACGTAACTAGCACGCGGTAACTGGTAATCATAAAAACTATAGTTAGTATCCTCGCATGGCACACTCAACATCGAGAAAATTTATACACTTACTATTTCACCCACACATTCACATTCTCTTCTCTCCATATCCTCTGCATTTCTTTGATCAGTTGACAAGCTAATTGTTCCTGTCGTAAATCGGCTCCAGTTTTAACGATGAGGGACAATAAACGCCAGTTAGGATGGTGGCCGTACGGAGATGATTTACGTATTCTATCCTTCTTAGTTTTCCAATTTTCCCTAAATACAGCAGCTAACGGAGATGTTACATAAATAATGATTGTGAAAAAAAAGTCTACCACAGATACATGTCATGAAACCGAACAACGTTATTTACCACTTGGATCTTCCTGGTTTATGCTACTCAATATCTTTTTCTCATCCTCCAGTATCTCACCCCAACCCATACCAACATTAACGCCCATAGTAGTCATTTTCTTCATTCTCTGCTCCTCTAATAACTGCATTTGTTTTACTATATTCTGTTTAATAGCTTCCGTGTCGGCCTTCGATCGTTGTACAACACTGGCAGTTCCAGGACCTGTTGAATTACTCCTTCCTTGCTGAGCAGCGCTTAATTGTGCTAACATGACAGCAGCCGTACGCATGCGTTCAGCGTATTCGTCTGCTACTCTTGAGTGTCGTCTGCTTAATATTTCTTGCGGATATGCTGATCCAGGCGTTAATGGGGCAGATGGAGATGGGGTGAGTTCGGAAGACGGAGAAGATGTTTCGGGAATCGATAATATTGTATGCGATGGCGGTGAGTCAGAATACGAAGATGCAGTAGATATTCGTGTGAGTTTTTCTACTGACGCTGAGCGTTTGGATGATAGTGAAGACGATACGACTCGGTTCTGTCCTGGGTTATTTGGAGAGGAGGATCGAGAAGTCGAAATCATAGACGTGCTGTCAGCCAGAGTGGATGACATTGATTCAAGTGAATGGGAAACGGGTGTCGCTGATTGACTGTCAAGCGGCTTGGACAGAAAATCTTGGGTGGGCGGTTGATCAGTTGATTTGTCGTCAACCGAACGGCTTTGTTGTTTGTTATCTGTAGACCATCGATGTGCTTTTTTTGATTGGGCTTCAGATGAACCAAAGCCCATGTCTTCTTCTAGTACTTCAACCAAGACTAAATATGGAACCTTAAAGTAATAAATGAGACATATATGAAATGAAAGAGACATATAAATACGCAAAACATACACCATACAGACAGGTCTTCACTTAAAGATCATTTAAATCCACACTACGTATGTATGTTAACGATATGCATAAAACAATCGAAACAAGAAATACCCGATCAGCTGAATTCAATACGACGGCATCAGTTGGAGATATTCTGACGACTCGATGATGTTGCGGTGACTCTGTCGTCGCCGGACACCATAAAGGAATACATATCTCAGCAGGTAGATTATGATTTAATAAGGTCAGCTCTGCCCTTAAAGTACTCTGCCTTGCTTCTCTTGGAACTATAATCAGCCGGGTGGAAATATCCTGCAAAGCGATTAAAAATTGTATCTCAGAATGAAAGTAATTCCCCTTTAATAGTCGTCTCTTCCTATCGACATCGTAATCAAGATCATCCAAATGAGAATTATCAGACGTTTCCGGTGGTTGTCGATATAATTTGTTCTCACGGTCATTTTCATCGTCAGTAGACTCGTGCGAATACATAGCTGATTGGGGACGCTGCTTTGACAAACTAGCCAGATAATTCCGCTTAAAAAGAGGATTGCTTTCACGAAGATCAGTCATAGAAGGAGACTTGAATTGATTTTCGCCCAATCCATTACGGAGATTAGGGGATGATGAAGTAAGAGAATTTTTAGATAAATCACGCATATAAAACTTCTTTTTACGGACTACTTGGCCAGACGTTGTGTCTGCCGTCGAAGACTGAGGAGTAGGATCATCAGGTAATGTTGTCGTTGACTCGGTAACAATTTCAGGTAGCTCATTGTTAGAAAATGTCTCAGGTGAACCATCCCTTACAACAGTTGTAGCATCCGGTTCTGATACAGTTATTTCGCTCTCATTTGAAACAGCACTTGTAAGCGTAGATGACTGTTCATTATGACTTTCTCTCCTTCGCGATTTATTCTTTTCATCTGAGGCTAAATCATCTTTAAGCTCTTTCGGGAATTCAGATTGTTTAGGTGTTCTCATTGTTCCAACATGAGTTCTTCTTCTTACCAAACCACTTCCA